GTCTCTACACATGCGATTGTGCAGGAGAGGAAGAAACATTCCCTGCATCTCAGCACAGCAACCCTAATCCAAATTCCTCCCTCTGCTGTTTTTTTTTTTTTTAAATACTAGACGTCTGAAGACCCACTGATCATTTCCAGCATGTTGTCTAGTTGTCTCTGGTTGTGTTAGTAAAATGTTAGTAAAATGTTCCTGGACATCCACTTTCCTCAGCAACCGTAGTGCATTTACAGATAACTAGACTAGTGATTGTCAAGACAGATCCTGGTGGTGCTGTTTGCCAGGAGTCTAGGGCTGAAATGACACATGCATTTTCAAGCACGTTTAGTTTTCCTCTGCTACATATCATGCATACTGCCACCACTCACAAGTTATGCTTTCCCTAGATGTCTCCAGCTAGTGCGGGAGAAGATATGATCCTCTGATGAACACTGCAAGCTGCCTTATACCGAGTCAGATATGATGTCAAATGATTGGCACAGTCATAAGGCAATACAAAAATCAGGAAAAAAACTGTGAAGCGTCACCTTTTCACAGTTTTTTCTGATTTTTGTATTGTTATACCGAGTCAGACCACTGGTCTGTCAATATCAGTGTTGTCTGCTCTGACTGGCAGCAGTTCTCCAGGGTCTCGGGTGAAGGTCTTTCATATCACCTACTGCCTGGTCCTTTTAACTGGAGATGCCAAGGATTGAACCTGGGACCTTCACCACTGAAAGCAGACTCTCCCACTGAGCCACAGCTCCTCCTCTATCCAAATCTACCTGGATAATGGCCCATATCTCCCTGTAAACAGATATCGCTCCAGTCCCATCATGACTTGCTTGGTGATTGCTTGACAGTACGTATGCCACCCTTCTGCATTACCTACCCACTTACTCCATTGCTGTCTCCTTTACCACCACCTTGATGCTAGTGAAGCTGATATGTTGGGTGCATATGACAAATGTGAGTCTGCCCTATACTGAATCAGGCCACTGGTCCATTAAGGTCAAGCACTGTTCACGTGGACTGGCAGCAGCTCTCCAGCATCTCAGGCAGAGATCTTTCACATCACCTACAGCATGATCCTTTTAACTGGAGATGCTGGGGATCAAACCTTCTGCATGCCAAGCAAGTGCTGTACCACTCAGCCATGGCTGAGAAGAAGAAAATTCAGAAGAGAGCCTTATCAATTTTATCTGTGCTGGTGAAACTGCACATTTTCATGGGAAAACCCTAGCAATTTCCTCAGCATAGAGGTCACTTCCAAGTTGGATCATTGTAACTCACTATACGTAGGGCTACCCTTGAGACTGACCCAGAAGCTCCAACTGGTACAAAATGTGGCTGCGTGGGTCCTTACAGGGACTCCACGGAGGGGACATATCCATCCAGTGCTGTGCAAGCTGCACTGCTGCCAGTGGAGCACTGGATCAGAGTCAAGGTTTTGGTGCTCACCTTTAAAGCCCTTAATGGTCGGGACCTATGTACTTTCGGGACCACCTCTCCTGATATGTCCCCCAAAGGGCATTGAGATCAACAGATAAGAATCTCCTGGTGATTCCTGGCCCCAAAGATATCTGGCTGGCCTCGACCAGGGCCAGGGCTTTCTCAGCCTTGGCCCCAGCTTGGTGGAACTCTCTGCTGAATGACATCTGTGCCCTGTCTGATCCATTAAAGTTCCGCAGAGCATTCAAGGCCAGAGATGTTCCGCCAGGCCTTTGGTTGAGGCCAGCGACGGTTCTCTTACATCTGCCCAGCACCGTCCCCTCCCACCCCTATGAAAATCTGAATGCTAGATATGCCATCTTGTTTTTTAAAGTGTTCAAATATTTATGCTGCATGTTTTAATATCGAATTCTTGTATTTTTAAACTAGTTTTAAACTGTTTTTAAAATTGTATTGAATTATTTTGTTGTAAACCGCCCTGAGCCCCACGTAAACAGGGAAGGGCGGTTAAGAAATCTAACGAAATAAATAAATACATTTTTGTCCCCTCCAAAATGGAATATATATTCCTGGTGCACACATTAATATTCCACACACACAAAATGAGGAATTCCCTTGATTTTGTCAGTGCCACTGTAGTCGAGGTGGGGGCAACAGAGAGAAATAACCAGGTGGTGGATGTCCACAGTCATGGAAAAACAGTAGGAACTGAGTAAGGGAGCTCTGCCTCTCTATTAATAGAGATACTTGTATACAAGGAGGAGAGGTTAAAGTGTGGAAGTTTCCCCAAATATGTATGACTCTTTGGGAGGACTAATAAAATATGTATGACTCTTTGGGAGGACTAATAGTGTGCTTCAGATGCAGAGGATTTTTTAAGGTTGACAAAAAAAATGCAAAAAGCCCAAAATTCAATCATTAATCAACTTGCTTTGCCTATCAATTTAAAGACACCTTTAAAGCTACGTATCTGTCTTTCACAAAGATACACCAGCTTTGGCAGAGGGTGCTGTATGTGGCATGAATTAAATGAGTAAAACCTGTACTAGAAGGATCAATGCTGGCAAGAGGGGCAGGGAGATGCAATTATTACTCAAAGCCTTTTCACAAAAGGACTAGCTCCATGTACCCACCCAAGACATGATAACAGATACATCAAGTACTTTATATTTTGAGGCTTTTAATCTGACATTCGTATATCATTTTGTTGTAAGCCGCCCTGAGCCCTACTTCTAGGGGAGGGTGGCCTAGCAAATCTAATTTAATAAATAAATAAATAAGGCATGTGAAATGCTTTGATCATTTGAAATATGATAAAGTATTATAATAAATAACCATTATAAAAATGGCAAACATATAGTTTTATTAAAATTCCACATAGCTAGAACAGAAATCGTCAGTATTTGCAGTTATTATAATTTTCACACCAAATGTTTCTGAAGACTGGGAGAGCCACATATACAATAATAGGCAGAGAGGCTGGTAAAGATACTGAGATCCCAGCAAGATGCTTCACAGCTTTTTGAGCTGGCAGGCAATCAAACAAACTTCAAACAGGAAATTCTTCAGTATTCAAACCAAATGATGCATAAGCACGTGACAACAGATGTGGCTAAACTACTGACATGTAAACACGATGGTATGACATTAAATGTTTTATTTCTTTTCAGGTTTCAAAGGCCTGGAAGGATAAGAAAATATTAAACATACACACAAACACACACACACACACACAAACTTGTTTCTATTAGAGCCTGGGATGATCTGGATGAATGGAGGGGAACACATAAAGCGGAACACATAAAGCTATTGTGCAGCAAGCCAAGATTATTGATCTATCAAGGTCAGTATGATCTAGTGACTGACAGCAACCCTCTAGCATCACCTAATACCTGATCCTTCTAACTGGAAATGCCAGGGGATTGAATCAGAGATCTTCTATAGGACAAGTGGATGCTCTGAACCACACCCCCACCTCTAAAAAAAAAGATGGCTATGGGAGATGAGACAAGCATTTGCTTTACAAATCATTACACAGTGGATGGAGAACTTTTACTTCACATTGTCAGTCCTGAACCTAGTCTCAGTCAGCTTTGCTGGGTGGCTCCATTCTAATATTACGAGAGGAAGAAAAAAAGAGGTACATTCTGCTTCAGTCTTGCCTGATACACACAAGCAAATGGAAACTCTACCCTCTGCATGTAATCCTTGAAAGCCAGCATGGCACAGTGTTTATAAGTGTTGATTTACGACTGGGGAGACCCAGGTTCAAATCCCCATTTGCCATGAAATTTACTGGGCCACCTGGGCCAGTCATTCTCTTTTAGCCTAACCTACTTCCCATGGGTTGTTGTGGGGATAAATTGGAGGGGGGGGGAAACCATATACAGTGCCCTGAGCTCCTTGGAGGAAGGGTAGGATAAAAAGGTACACGATGAATCGATTGTAACAAGCCGCAAAATCTGAAATTAGGAAATGTGTGGGTCTTTTTGACAGCCCTTGTCTAATTTCATCTGGCTCTTGCAGTGTAAATCTAGAAAAAGTCCAGAAGTGTATTCTTTGGTGTTACCTACTGTTGGTATGGCAATAATAGATGGGGTGTGTGTGTAGATTTGTAGTAGTTCAGTTTTTGCTCTCATACGTCCTATCAAACCATTTCCACCTGCTTTTCAAACATTAGAGGACCAAAAGGATTCCACAGAAGAAGGCTGCCAGATTCTTTGGTTGGAATTGACTAGGCTCAGTAATTAACTTGGCAACACTCCAAAGACCAACATCTAAGTACATCTCACCTTGCTATTCCATGAGCATAAGAGAGGGCAAATCATAAGATCCAGAAAGTTCCCTTAAACAGCACTTGGGAGTTTTTCAAAGTAAAGTGGGACTTTGGAAGATGATGAAGATTGGGGGGAGCTAGCTTACTGGAAGAGTAAAAATGTGGGTGGCCGGTGCATCTATAGACTGCAAGCTTTGGAGAGACAGAAGCCATAAAGTCACTTACTTTATTGCCCCCTCAGAGGAAAGCAAGGAGAAGGAACTGAAAATGAAATGGGAGACAGAGGAGAATGCTGGGAAGGCAAGAGATGTGGAAGGAGGTGGCAGGAACAGCACGACGATACATGCACCAAAAGATGCTCGGAGCACGATCACTTAATATGGGGGGGGGGAGTGGGGAAATAGGAAAAGATGGCTGCAGAAAAGAGAGCTACAGATTCATGGGACAGTCTGGCTGAGACACCCAGAGGCCCGAGGGATGGGGAGGAGGTCGGGCAGCTGCTCTGAGGCCAGGGATGCTGGGATGGCTGCATCATGGAAAGGGGACTGGGCTGGAGCCAAATGCCTGTGGACAGGAGGAAGGGATGACGCAGGCGGGGGGCGTCCTGAGAGCAATGCACCGATGGAGAGAGGCAGGCGGGCGGGGAGGAGGGATGCTCGGGAGGCGGCCGGGGAGGAGGGAGAGAGAGGGCGGGCGGCGGAGGGAGAGATGATGCATGGATGGAGTCACGGATGGATGGCCGAATGGAGGTAGGCAGGCAGGCAGGCAGGCAGGCAGGCGTCCCGCCTCCTCGGTGTCCTGCTCTCCCAGGAACGCGTCTTCCTCCTTCCTGGAGCGCAGGCAACTCTCGGCCGCGTTAACGCTGCCCCCCCCCGCCGCCGCCGCCGCCGCCGCCGCCTCCTCCTCGGGCAAGCGGGGAAAGCTGGTGATGCTCATGTAGTCCACGGGCGAATAGGCGCCCAGGCTGCTCTGCTGACTCGCCTCCTTCTCGGCTGCCCCTGCCGCCGCCGCCGCCGCCATCCTGCCGGTGCCTCTCTGCCCAGGCTGGATCCTGCTCCGGAAGTGACTGAACAGCCCGGGCTGGAGGGGAGCCGGCGCAGGTGCCCGGGGAAGGACTTGCCACGGCGATGGCAGGCTGCGGCCGGTAGAGGGCTAGTGGGCGGGTCTTGTAGCCCAGGAACCGCCCTCCCGGGTCGTGAGCGCATCCAGACGACCCGAGTAGCCAGCGGGGAACGGCCTCCCGCGTGCAAGGGATGAGGAATGAGGCGGCGGCGCTGTCGACTGCTGGTGGAGGATCTCATTGTGGAATGAGCCACTCTTTTGAAAATGTTCCCCGCAAACTGGTCTCTCGGAGACCCGAGTTGTAATCCCCACTGGTACTTATAGAAGTTTGCTTGGGTGATCATGGCCAGTCACACTCTCTCATCCTAACCTACCTCATGGGGTTGTTGTGAGGATAAAATGCAGGAGAGGAGAATGGTGTAAGCCACTTTGGGTCCATACTGGGGAGAATGACGGGGTATAAATGAAATAAATGAATTAAACAGAAGACCAGCAGCTCCAGCCAAGAAAAGATTTGCACGTTTTCTATTGTGCTGGAATCCTGAGCCTGCAGTCAGAGCTCTGCTATCCTGTGTGAACCAACCAGACCTTACACTTGAGGGGGGAAGATTAAATACATTTTAATCTATTATTCTATTTAACTTGTGCTTCCCTTTGAATTATAAGATAATTTATGTGTGGGAGTTAATTTTAATTATTTCTCTTACCCATTTTGTTTGCTGAGAGTTGTGCTGGTCTATAAAGACTGACCAACCGTTCTACCTTCTCAGTGCTTTGCCAGAACATTGCAACTCCCTGTGTTGAATGCATAGACCAGGCCTTATTTGTGAGGTATAATCATGGGATTCATGACACATCTGTGTGGTAACAGCCAGCTACCTGAAGGTGGGGGCATACAGAAAAGGCCTCTAAAGATTAGTTTAACCGTCAAGCAGGATCCAGTATTAAATTACTAGAATATAGGACAAAAGGACTGTGTTCAGTTCATTCCGGGTCCCGTAAGCACTGAAGAAGCAGATAATACATTCGTTCTTAGTCATGGTATGTAGTTACTAATATATATGGTGAGAACATCTTGTACCCTGGGTTTGTTTACTGTTATGTAACACACCTTCAAAACATTTAAAAATTATTCAGTATGTTGTAATTTGCAGCATATTGTTGTCATCTTTATGTCTTTGTTCAAGTTTCTGGCTTGACCCAGCCAAACGGCATAGGAGCATTATACAATAGGTTAAATATTAGGTGTTCAGTTAAACCCAGCTAAACCAATAAAATATTATCTAAAGGTAAAATCCCAGAATCATCCTGGCCTTTATTCGCCATCACAGTTAAAAGATTTCACAAGGATTCCAGGAAAAGGTCCTGGGATTGGATAGGCTCTCTGGCCTTTAAATTGTCTGCATCAGTAGTTCCCAGACTTTTAAAGTGGAGCCCATTTTGAAACTTGTTCCACCTTTGGGGGCCCACTTCAAAAACAACTGTATGCTGCTTTGGCCCTCACTGACATGAAACTGGTTAAGAATGAATCATTTATGTTCTATTTTTAATTTTTAAGGTTTATAAATGGTATGGAGCAACACTGATCAACAGGCTATATAAAAATGTCATGGCCATTTTGCATGGTATGCAGAGGTAAAACCCAAATTTGCCAATGAATTTACGGGAACTACAGCCAAGATCACCTTCCTAATTAGTGTGCTGTCGAATGCCTACATTTACAAAGATATGAATGCAAATCTCACTTTATTTTTTTAGGTACACACTTAAAATATTAGGTGTACTCCTAAAAATATAACGTGTGATATGACTTCCGCTGCCTGAGCAGAAGAAATGGGGGAGGGGGGGTCGTACCAATAAAAAATTCAAATTACTTTCCCCATGTTTCTCCCTCACAGCCTGAACAGTCCAGCTTAACCTGAGGTGGTCAGAAATTGGCAGGGTCAGCCATATTTAGTACTGGTGTGGCAAAGCACCAAGGAAGACGGGGGTTGCTGTGCAGAAGAAGGCACTGACAAACCACCTCTGCTTGTCTCTTGCCTAGAACACCCTGTGGATGGGGTCACTATGAGTCAGTTCCGACCTAAGGACATTTTGTGACTTGAAGTCACATTTTTCTTCTTGCTCCTCCCTCTTCTATCCTTTTCCCTCCACTGGGAGGGGCAGGCCCAGAAACCCTTCTCTCTGAGCTCACATTGTTCATCCTCCTGTCTCCTGGTCTCACAACCAGTGTTCCCCCTAAGCTGAGTTAGTGTGAGCTGGCTCACAGTTTTTTAGCCTCTAGCTCACACATTTTTTTCTTAGCTCAGGAAGGATGGCTCCATAGCAAACTAATTCATGCAGCAGCCAAATCATTTGCTCACAACTTTAATGCTGGTAGCTCACGAAGTAGAATTTTCGCTCACAAGACTCCAAAGCTTAGAGGGAACATTGCTCACAACCCACCTGCAAGAGGGTTGCAACCAGTGTTTCCTCTAAGCTGAGTCAGTGTGAGCTAGCTCAGTTTTTTAGCCTCCGGCTCACACATTTTTGTCTCCGCTCAGGAAGGAGGGCTCCAGAGCAAACTAATGTATGCAGTAGCCAAATTGCTCGCTCACAACTTTAATGCCAGGCGCTCACCAAGTTGTATGTTTGCTCACAAGGCCCCAGAGCTTAGAGGGAGCATTGGTTGCAACCTATAGTTTGAGAACCACTGAGCCATGTGATTATTTCCAAAAGAAATGTTGCAACCTGGCATCTTTGGGTAACACATGGAGTTGCGTAAATCTTTCCCATGTGCCACTGTGGGAGCAATGGACATAAGGAGCTGCTTTATGTTGAGTCAAACGAAGGGTCTGTCTAGCGCTTTGACCAGCAGCAGCAGCTGTCCAGGGTCTCTGGCAGAGAGGAGTCTGAAAAGTACTGGGTTCGATGCATGGAGAGGTGGACTACGACATGCTGACAAGTCACATTTATTCAGTGCAACACAAGACAAAGAACTGGCCAGCAAGGGCCAATTATATACACCCACCCTAGACACACCCACAGTCCTACTGGAGGGTTTGAATCTCCCCCCAAGTTCCTATTGGTGTACTAAAAGGTGGACTAGGATCCTTGGCCCCTATTGTGTTAGAAGCCAAGCTAGGGGACTCCGGACGTAGACCTCTAGTGTCGGTCCACGGACACAACAGAGTCCTTCCCATCAGCTGCTACCCAAGACCCTTTCCGCTGGAGCTGGTACATATTAAATGGGAGACCTTTTGCATGTGAGGCATGTGCTCTACTACTGAACCAAATCCCCTCTCATATGGCCTGGGGGAGCTCCTATATGTGTGGGTAGAGCATTTGCCTGAAGCCTGAGAATGGCAGGGGGCTGCTGCTACATCTGCCCTTTTCTGGCTTGACCCAGCCAAACAGCACAGGAGCATGATACAATAGGTTAAATATTAGGTGTTCAGTTAAACCCAGCTAAACCAATAAAATATAACCTAAAGGTAAAATCCCAGAATCATCCTGGCCCTTATTCGCCATCCCAGTTAAAAGATGGTCCTTGCTCAGACCATCTCTGTTCTGCCACCCCACCCCACTCCAGTATCAACGGAACAATGATCTGAAGTAAAGAAAATTACTGGCCCAAGGTCATTCATTACTGTGGGTCTCAGACCCAGGGCTCCTAGTCGGGCATTCAACACTACACTGGCTTTCTAAAGAATGCCTAATGTTTAATTGTTAACAAGGAGAGGCCATAATTTAAACTGGACAAGGGACAAGCACAATTAACTCCTCACAGTGACTCAGTCCCACACAAGCCAAGACCCTCAATGTTCTCAGTGCGAACAACATCTGCTGTGGTTTTGGAAGAGCTCTCCCTTTATTCTCCTGAACCACCCACCCTCATTTGCCTACATTTTGCCTAACACCTTAGAAACATAAGGGGAGACCTCTAACAGAACCTCTCTGTGTTCATACAGAGGTGGGTTAAAGAGTCGCTCACCTGTGTGTCTCAGCTTTCTGCTATTTTTATCCCACCCTTCCTCCAAGGATCTCAAGGCGGTGCACATGGTTCCTTTTATTCTCATAGCAACCTTGTCAACTAGGTTAGGTTGAGAGAAAGTCATTGGCTCAAGGTCACCCGCTGAATTTCATGGCAGAGTAAGCATTTGAACCTGGGTCTCGCCCAGTCCTAGTAGGTCTCACTAACCACAGTGTTTGGGATAATGGGTTGTTGGAATCAGGCATGGCCCTGGGGTCCTAACAGGAAATCCCTGAATTAGAATGGGTCCCCGAGCTGACAGTTAGCTCTCTCTAGGTCTGCTCGGTTAAAGAGCTTGTAAGTGATAACCTTGATTAATTTGGGTGAAATTTGACTTGATAAGGAACATGGAGCTGCCACTGTCCCCCCTCCAGCCAATTATGTGAGATGGGAAAACACACAATGCAGTGACATCACATCCCACATTGTGTCATGCTATTTGATAGCTCTGTGCTTCTTGTAATATCTTGTTCAACCTTTAAATGGGATTAATTTGCTATGGCAAGTAACTCTGCCCCAAATTCCCCATTCCAAGTGACCTCATTAAAAACTATCTACCTAATGTACAGGCTATTGTATACGTATCCAAGAAACTATAAAGAAACACGAAACACAATGAATTAGACTATTGTAAACAATAATTAACTTTTTCGGTACAGCGCACATATTTTTCTACTGAAACAGTTGGGCTTTATTGTATGGTTATTATGTCATAATTAGTTCAGTGAAGCCACATCCCATGTCAAGATAGCTTAGGAGTTGCCTGTTACTCATAACTTTGTCTTTGCAAATATGGTGTTTTCAAAAGGCAGAGCTGAAGTGTCTCTGATTTTTTTTCCCCAATGCAGACTTTTGAAATGAGGATTAGATTACTCAGAAGAGAAAAGGGTCAGGCATCTAGGTCAAATGGAAAGCAGGGGACAGAGGAATTCTGTTTCTGCTGTATCTGATAGAACCTGTGAAACTGATTATTGCCAACAAAAGCCCATTCCAGAATAAAGGGCACCCCAGTCCTATGTTGCCACTTGCGGCTGCTGTGGTGTAAGCACTGCACTAACTAAAAAAAGAAATTTCTATATGCCACATACCTAATAACTATAGACATGTATCCAGCCTCCCATTTCTAGCACAGAGTTGTAGTTAAACAACTCAAGAACAGAACAGTATATTACATACAACTAACAGTGTAATAAGAGTGGTCCACAAAATTAGAGAACAACACTTAACACACACAAAGTGACAGTAGAATGAGAACTGTCTAGGAATTCACAGATACTAAATTACAACCTTAATCCCTTTATAACCCCCCCCCATCAATTAAAAACATTTGTTTTTTTTACACATTGTCTAGAATGATGGGAACATGGGAGACTTTCTGACCAAACAAGTCATCCACCATGATAGAGAGTAATGGGGTACAAACAGCTTTCAATCTCACCCATTTTCAGGGTTGCACCTTCAAAAGACTGCTGAGATAAGCAAAGCAGAGCACAGTGGGAGGTGCAGTCCTGCAGATGTGTGGGTGGTAGACCATGAAGTGCTTTGTACATGATAAAAAGTACTTTGAATCTATAACTACTGGAGTGACTGCAGAACAGGTGTCATACTCTGCATAGCCCCTGATAATGATCAAGTTGTAGCATTCTGTACCAGGTGGAGTTTCTGAATTGTCCTCAATGGCCGACCTATTGAAAGTGAGATCCGATAGTCTAGCCTCAATGTTACCATGGCATTGATCCATGTTAAGATAGGGAGCTACCCTCTGGGCTAAAAGAAAATGGAAGAGAAGTAGTAAACCAATGTCTGAAGGCAATAAAGGACCGGATGAGGGTTAATAAACTGAAACTTGATCCAGACAAGATCAATGTGTACGTGGTGGGCAATAAGGGCATTTTGGAAACTAAAATTCCACCTATTCTAGATAAGGAGATCCTAGGGAAGAAGTTGCAAAAATGACAGTGCGTAACACAGCATTTTACAAAGCATCTTTAAAATGGCTAAACAGGGACAACATAGGAAAAGTGATTTCACAGATAATAGAAAATAGGGACTTTTCCTGCTAAATAGGGACGGTTGCATTCAACAGCACTGTTCCAATCATTCTAGGATGTGATTATGTACTCCAGGGGCTGGCACATATGAACATCTTGGAAAGCAACATGAGGAACCTCCTTCTTTTGTGCCAAGATTGAACACCCCCTTTCCTGCAACCAGAGTGTTATAATGGAGCTCCACCGGGGCTAGGTTTGCAGAAGAAGGTCATTTCTGCTTGCACCTTTAAAAACATGAGGGGGGGGGGGAGTCACACAGGCTGTCTACTGAATGTATGATGTAAATGATCAGCAGTTCTACTTTAAAGATCGCATGGGGCTCATTTCCAAGGGTATGGTCAGGAGTAAGATGTACCAATGTTGTCTTTATTTTTAAAACCCTCCCTGGAGGCTGGCCTGCCCCAGAAGAAGCAGGGCACGCCCTTGGAGCTATTTATAAAAACAGAAACCCAAGCTCTTGCCAGTAACCGCCAAAACAGAAATCAGATCCTTTCCCAGAACAGGTATGCAAAGTTCTGCTTTGTAAGGTTATGGGATGGCAGTAGGACAGAAAGAAGTAGTAGGAAGCTTGGGAAACCTGGCCTGTTTGGGTATAAGCTGAGCACGGTATTGTCACTGTACACGAGTTGAATTTCAGATGAGCTATATCATTATTTGAAGAATATAATGTTCCCCCTCCCCCAAGTCTGAACTGGGAATAAGTTGCAATTCCTGCATTATGTATTTGTTCATGGCATTTGATTGGCAAATTTAGGGTTTGGGAGGGGGGGCTACACTGTGATGGCTTTCTGAACTACTGCTTTTTAAGATATTCAAACAGATGTAACTGTCTTTCTTTCCTCCCATGTGAGGTTTTAAAAGCACAGAATTATAAAGCCAGATGTAATGAGAAGATTTTCATTTAAAACACCCCAACATTTTCTCATCTTCTTTAGCTTTAAATGCCCCTAGCATGCCTGTCTTAAAAGTCTAGTCCAAAAGTTAGGGATGAATTGACCCAGATAAGTGTATGTGTGTGTGGAGGGGCAGGGGGATTGGTAAAACTTGCTTTTCTGTTTTCTACAACTCAGTACATTCCTCAGACTTAACAAGGTATTTATACCCTTCTCACATCTCCCCCCCCCTTTTTTTTTGTAAATTAAAGTGTGTATTCTGAAGATGCTGGAGTAATTTTTACCCCAGCAAGGGAAATGGAAACTAGCAGCTAAGGTGAAACTGCCAAACTTATATTACCATATTTTCTTGTATTTTATCATTGTTGCATTTGCGAGTGTTCTAGTCCTTTACGGCCAAAGGGAAATATTTAATAAAAGATGGTTGTTGTTTTTCCTTCAGCAAACAATGAGATGGTCACAGTCCAGAGAACTTTCAATGTATGAATCATACAACTGTGATGAAGAAGCATTCACAATTATTTATCTAAAGATGTTATACAAAACATTAATTTCTGAATTTGATTATTACAAGAATTAATACAATAGAACAGAAGCGAAATTGGTGCTGCCGTTTCGACAATGTGTCTTCTTCTGACTAAAAATTGTGCCTTTATAAATAATTCAAAATTATGTACAATCAATAAAAAATCAGTGGTAATAATACATCATCTAATTTTGATAATTGAAAACATTTTCTTACAGTCAATGCGAAGTCGAAACGGCAGCACCAATCCGGAGACCACCGTCCCGCCTTTTCGCTTCTGTTCTATTGTATTAATTCTTGTAATAATCACATTCAGAAATTAATGTTTTGTATAACATCTTTAGATAAATAATTGTGAATTCTTCTTCATCACAGTTGTATGATTCATACACTGTATGCTGTTTTTCCTTGGCAGATGGTGGAATGCTCATAAAACCTTATTGGGGCAGCATTTTCTGTTACATGCCTTGGGGTCTCCTTGACTCACACACTAGAATAATAATAACATAGACTTTTGTTCAGGCAAGGCAAAGGCTAAACATCTATATAGATGAGCTTCAAATTGTGCACAAAATAGTACATAATAATATTAGTTATGTAGTGCAAAGTGCCTGCAGTAGATCTGTACAGTGTAGTCTTGTTTTGATGCCATGGCAATCAATGGAGGGGGAACTCTACGGCATTCTACCTTGCTGAGGTCTTTCCCCTCCCTAAACCCTGACTTCCCAAGGCTCCACCCCCCAAATCTCCAGGAATTTCCCAGCCCAGAGTTGGTAACCCTAATGGGTCCTCCTGTCCTGACTCTCCAGATCACTTGTTTGTCTGGCCCTTAGGGAAGCAGCTTACCCTATACACAATGGGTCAGAATGTATGAATCTGGTGTGGTCTTCCTGGAGCAGAAGGAGCCTTGCTCTCTGATGGAAGAGGCGTATTCTGCTGGAGGAAGCCTCTGTACACCAGAGAAAGGCTGTGCTTCTAGTGAACAGACTAATAAAATTAAACTCAGAAAGCCATTTTGATATAGCGGTTAAGAGTGGCAGACTCTAATCTGAAGAGCCGCATTTGATTCCCCACTTCTCCTCTACACGCAGCCAGCTGGATGACCTTGGGACAGTCACAGTTTTCTCAAGAGCAGTTCTGTCAGAGCTCTCCCAGCCCTATTTACTTCACAGGGTGTCTGTTGTATGGAGAGGAAGTGAAGGAGATTGCAAGCTGCTCTGAGACTACGAATGAACAGCGGGGTATAAATCCAGCTCTTCTTCTTCTAAAAGTATGAGACAGGAGCTGGAACCTTGCAATTCAATATATGATATTGACTCTCCACTTCTCAATACATCAAAGATACTGTTCTAATTTACAGATTCGTTTTGTGGATTACTGAGATAAAGTACATGGGATGCTTTGAGCAACAGGAAAAGTGCTATATAAATGCTAATGCTTGGGTGCTGTGAACAAGTTCCATGCATGCTAGTCTTGCTGTGGAGCACACTTCCTCTTCTGCTAACACTTCTGTTTGCACAAGGGTCCATTCCATAAGGAGAAAAGAAGTGTGATCTACAGTACAGAACTCCCTCATAGGATCCAAGCCTGAATTGTTACAACATTTCCATACAACCCCTATCAATTATATGTAGATTTAGGAGTTTCCGGTTTGTGTATCAGCGATGGCGGTCGTTCTCCCCGGATCTCGGGGGAGCGGCCCGCACACCAGCGGTATGGAGGGGTGCTACCTCAAGTAGCACTCACACGGAGCCTTTGCGATAGGCTCCAGGCCAGAGGGCTTTTGAGGGGCAGCCTCTTCGACGGCTCAATGCCGGAGAATTGAGGCTTCCCTCCGCCCTGACGGTCCTGCCGCTGTGTGGCCCTCGGGCACAAGCTGATTCGACAGGAACAAGCGCTGGAGATTGAGCGGAATTTCAATTACTGCTAGCGAGGTCAGAGAAATGACCGAAAATGAACGTGAGTTCAAAATAAATGGAATATTTCAAAAGCGAATTACCCCCTGTGGGAAAAGTGGAGCGCAAAGAGGGATGCCTCTTATGCGAATGGACAGATAAGCGTAATGAAGGGGCAGGGGGGGAAACAAGTAGCGATTTTGTTTTGAGAGACTTACTTGAGCTCTGACATTGAGGCAACGATTTTTTGAGTCCGTGAGAAGCGGTTTGGAATTGTAAAAAATCGTATAAAATGGCGGCTTCGCAAAGAAAGTTTAAAACAAAACTGGCGGGTAGTCAGAGTCCAAAACTGGAAGAGAGAGCAGACGTCATGAAAATGTTAGCAGATATGCTCAATCCGGTG